ACAGTTGTTGTGTGTGTCTCTCACTTGTTTTTTTCCTATAGGCATCGTCTTCAACCAGCCGCATCCTGGACAACCAAACAGTTGGAGACCTGAAGGCTGAGATCGTCTCTTTGAAGGGCTTACTGCTCAGCAGGTAACAAAGTCCCCAGACCCCCATCACATGAAACAGTTCAGATGTGTGTGTGTTTGCTTAAGGGTGGACAGCTCACTGTTTTCATGCACTTTTGAGTTCATGGATGCAGTCCATTTGAACCCTTTTTACAATGGTAAACAGGAATAAAACACCACCAACTAGATATGTCATTTACTCAAACATCACATGTTCACGTTGGCCATGTTTTATTTACACCTCACATTAAAATACGAATACTAGCTGACATTAAAAATAATATGATACCATGTAACAAGATAAAACACTGAGTATGAATTTGCATTATCTCTAAGCCTGTCACCGTGGCTGAAGGCTCATTTTGCCCAGTATGTTTTAGAGCCATTTTAAGATTTTGAAGCATAATATCATAAATCGCAATTATTTTGGCCAGGATAATCGTGACATTAGACTTTCATATACTCTTATAACTGTTCCACATAATGTCGTGTTGCTCTTTAAAATTGCTTGCATTAATTGCACTTGTTTCATCTATTTTTATTGGTTTGCACATATCACAAAGACATTAAACACTTAATTCATATGTCAGAAGGGCCACAAATGTCAAGAAGCATGTTCTTGAGTTTTTTATTTCAGATAAATCAGATGATACAAGGTGGTAGAAACACTACTAGTTTTGTCCACTGGGGCCTCCAGAATCAACACAACAGTTCCTTGTTGCTGCTTTTAGAGCTTCTGGAGTTTAGATCTAACAAACAATTACATATAGTAACTACAACAACAACGAACAACCATTCATGCAATCACCTACCTACTTCTACAGTACAGTACTGCTATAGATGGCCTGAAAGTTTGTGTTTGTGTATGAATAAATAAAATAAACACATACTGTCACATTGCTCTTCCAAATTACTTGCACACTTAAACATAATCATCAATCTCAAATATGTTTAATCTCACAGGCACTAGAGGTTATAATACTGATTGCACCATTTCTTTTACTTCGCAACTTGCCTCGGCCGATTAGCATACTGCAGGCATCAGCTGTTCTTATGTGTTTTGATGCTTTTATTGGTAAGCAAGATAACCACATGTGCATAATTGCTCTGATTCAACATTCAGTTTTTCTCATTTTATGAGAGCAAAATATCCATGACCATAAAAGCACAACCAATGATATATATGAACTAGGAAATCAGCTGTCAATCATTTTATTTGTTGTCAGAGTAAAATGTGATTGTATCTACCACATCTTAATGCAAAGTACTGTGTGTTACTGTTGTTAAAGGTCTCATTGTATACTGCTGTATTTTCCTACATTCTTTCCAGCTTTGTTTCTCAATCTAGTCAGGCACAGCCCAGCTCAGTCAGGCCCATTAGCATGCATGATTATGTATCAGTGTCTATAATGAAGCCTGAAGTAAGAGTGTACATCAGAAAACCGGCGAGGAACAAAATTGCCTCAGAACTGTCTAGTTGAGCATGTTTTGTTCCCCTCGTACATTCTAATCAGTAATAATCCCTTTGTCATTTGCTTTCTTGACTTCATCCTGACTCTCACAATGAGTTTTCTGGCAAAGGCTTGAATCACAAAATAAAGGCTCTGCATCACCATCTGTCTCTAAACGTGTTCCCTTCCTGTTCAAATGATCCAAATCATCTCCAAACTGTTTTTTTAACCACCAAGAAGTGCTGATCCCATTACGATTCAACGTTGTCTGTTTGATCTTAAAAGCTGCAGTGGATGTAATTAAAAAAATCTTAGAGCTTCTTTACCAGGTGTGATGAACATCTGGCTGTTTGAGGGGGGAAAAGCCATTTTCTCTGCTGTAATTATGAGAATTACATAGGGTGCTTTGTGTGTGGCTGCATGCTAAAATATAAACTAGTATTAAGGATATGTTGTCATTTGACACCTGACTTAGAAAGCTATATATAGTTTTGTGGTTGCAATATGCTCAATTCTGGCTGATTACATTGTGGGAAAGCTCTTCTCACATTTTGATCACAGTGAGCTTTTGTTTTTCTTTTTCATGAGATTGTGATCGGGCCTCATTTTCTCTCTCTCTCTCTTTTGTCTGCCCCCCACACACAGGAAACAATTCCCTTCCACTCCCACTATTCCTAAGATCCCCTCGTGGCAGATCCCCCTGAAGCCGCCTTCGGCACCAGGCTCACCCTCCATCATCCACACCAACAGCAGCAGTGACATCTCCCCTGTCAGTAACGAGTCGGCCAACTCCTCTCCCGTCAAAGATGGACACCACAGCCCCCAGGATGCACTGGGAGGGCCCGATGGAGCTCATGGTATCAATGGAGATGCCGGCCCTGTGGGCCTTGGCACAACACTGCCCATGGACTTGAAGGACCAGGTCCGCATGGAGGTGCAGGGGGAGGAGGAGAAAAAGGAGGAAGAGGAGGATGATGTCAGCCACGTAGAGGAGGAGGAGGAAGAGGAGGAGGAGGATGGTCTAAGCATGCAGACAGAGGATCGACGAGGTGGGGATGGACAGATTAACGAACAGGTGGACAAACTGAGGCGGCCCGAGGGTGCCAGCAATGAGAGCGAGGTGGATTAGACAACAGTAAAAGCACAAAAACACTCTCCAAACACAATTTCTCGTTTCATTCTGCTTCTCTCTGCTTGCTCTCATTCTGTTTGTTTTTTATTTTTTAAATCCATCTGCGCTGTCTGTTTCCACTTGTTTCTGTAACATGTTAATCTTAAACAAAATGAGGAGTAGGTGTGGGCGTGAGAAGCCGCAAAACTGACAAATATTGGAGTGTCTAATTGACACACAGCTTACCTCGATTTACTTTTCATCATGCAAACTGAATGACTGCATGCCGATCTAAGCACCACGTTGTGACGTTTCTTTGAAAGGAGAAATGACGGGCAATAGTCAAATCAGAATGAAAAGGCTTTATGCAGTACTTACCATATGTGAATTACTGCTTTTAATTTTCATGATTTGATCAGATAATTCACAGCCTTGCCTTGGTGTCCTTGTAATTGTACTAAGGCTCTTATACAGACCAAAGAGGCAGTGCTGCACAGACTATCTCTCCTGTATAGTGCGGCTGTAGGTCAGGAGTCATATGTTGGTACTTCAGTCTCAAAGTTACCGTGAGCTTCCAGAGAAGCATTAGCAGAGTTTGTCTCCCTGTTGATGGCAATAGGAGAGGACAAGCTCTTCCAGGGCCGGAGCTTTTAGCCTCTTTTATGTGTCCTTTCGCATTGGTGTCAGTCTGTCAATAATTCACAAGGCCAGCAGGGTGGCATTTGGGTGAAATAAAAGCCCTGAAATTCGAGATTAGAATGTGATGACGGGCTTTGTTCCATGCCGGTGTCAGAGTGCTCATACGCTCAAAGGAGGGGAAGATAAATGTTTTTTCCCCCCGCTTTCCTTTTTCACTGAGGGCTGAATTGTGGATCTTTGCGAGTGTGTTTGCGCGTGGCAGGCGAGAAAAGACCCAGACTGTCTGCTGAGCCGTATCTGTGTCTCCAGCAGGGCAGCTGATTTGGTTTGTGAAGTATGTTAATAATCAAATGATCAACAAATAACAGATGTATTAGTTCATGCAGCTTGAAATGTCAAGGAGGCTAAAAGCGGAAATCTAATACAGAAAGCCCAGTTGCATTGTATTATTTTCCGTGACAAACCCTCCGGTCCAAATTATGTAGGGCCTCCTACAGTGAGTAATCTTTACAGAAAACGGCGCCAATATTTTGTAATTAAGCTGCAGTAAGACAACGAGGGCTGCCACAGATGGAAGTTGCAGAACTTGTATCATCTTTTTTTTTCTTCTCAGTGTGGAGGTGGATGGGGGAAGTTTAAAAAAAAATTGCCCCATGATTGAAAAGGAAAGTAATAAATGAATACTTGACTTATTGAATTACTCACTCTGTCTCCAGCTAACAAGAAGAGTCCATGAGTGAGAAGAAGGGATATCAGCTCTCGTGCCATTTCCACCTGCATCACAGGGCCGTCATAGGAACACAGAGAAAGGTAGAGGGTCACTGCACATTTCTGTGACACCGGTCCTAACCTGCAGATTATGTTTAGTTATGCTGATTGAATTTATGTTAAAAGTGTCGAATGATGTGACAATAACACTGCAGTATGCTGTAAAATATATATTTTCTGATTTATGTAAAATGAATTTGTATGGATGAATAAGGTTGTTTAAAGAAGTACAGAATCAAGAGGTGTAACTTATGCTTCTTAGCCACTGTAGTTTCAGTGATTGGTCCGCTCTGTAACCTGCTGATTACTGTCAAAAGTGTATATAAGTGTAATAAATTTGTTTTTTTTGGCTCAAGTAGAATCACTGTTATATTCATTATTATATAAACCACACACACAAAATACTACTGTATGCTACTGTTAAAGGATAAATATAGTATTAATGGGATGTCTGTTTCCATGTATATTTTACATTTCTTGAATTCAGTTACTGATTTACATCAGTGCAAAGAGTTGAAGCTCAGCTAAATACTAAACTTCTACTGAAGAACAGGGTGCTGACTCTAAATCACAAGTGACTAAAATGTACCTAAATTACATTAAAGAAAAGAAATGCACAAACAAACATTTAAATTAGACAAAAGTTGGGGGTTTTGCAGTTTTTGTCTTTATTTTTAATCTCTCTGAGATGTTTGTGCGAATGTGGTTGTCTATGTTCAGGTGCAGGAGGGTTTTCTGTCACATTCATATCAAGGCATTTTTGTTTTTGGCTAAAATTTTGTTAATAATAAAATCAAACTATGGCAGACTTTCCATTCTGTGAGACAACGTTTTGTTGTTTTATACATCCAATAACATCAGCACTGTAAATTTTCACAATTTAATCCAGATGTGAATATTGAGTGATCCTGATCCAGATCCAGAGGCCTGTGAATTCAGAAACCATTTTAATTCAAAGTTTCTGATTAATCTTTGTGGTTCCCAAGTCACATCTCCAAACCAGCTGTAATGTATCTGTAAGACCAGATACAGATGAGAATTGTACAGTACTTTCAGAAAGCATGACTGGGCAGGGACTTTCAGCCTTTTTTCAGCTTTCTCTCTGGAAATGAGTAAGTGACATAGTTATACATTGTATGTGTGAAGTTGTGTTTATTTCTGTAGGTGGATTCAGTCTTTTGGTTTCTGTTGTGGGAGTGTTTTCTCAAATAGGGTTTCCTATTCTATTTTGAATACATTTAACATGTTGCAGATAGTCATCCTATAATTAAAATTTGTTTGGTTTTTTTCATGCTTAACTGTAACAATTTTTTCTCAGTCCAACAGAAAAGAAAAAGAAACCGACAAAAACTCTGAGGCAGAGTGAGACAGGTAGAGAGATGGGAGAGAAAGGAGAGAAGGTATAATAGTTGCAGAGATAAAAGATAAACTTGTTCACAGTAATCTGATGTCACCTCAGTTTCTTTTTCTTGTGAGATTGAAATGCTCAGACCAAAAAACAGAACTACTAAATGTATGCAAAATGTAAGGATTGCTTTGCTGTGCTTAAATTAAAAAATTGTCATGGTTGGTCTGAGGTGGTGCTAGAGAGAAGCCATGGACAGTATAAAGAAACTGATCAAAAAACGTCCTTGTCAAAACCTGGCACCTACATTACCTACAATGCAACTTGACTGCTGACAGTTCAGTTGGAGTGTGTTTTACAAGAACAGCTCTTACACAAGCTATATCCTGATAGAATACTGCTTTAGATTTAGCCAAATGCTATCATACAGGGGGTATGTGGAAACAAATATGGAGTAAATCAACTGACGTTGACGTTCCAATTTAGTTACGTAATGTATGTCAACATATTGAGTCACCTCTAACACCTTGACACCCAGTGCTACAACAGAGAGCGTGAAAACTAGATAGAAGGCCTGGGCGAGCAGAGAAGTCTAAACAGCGAGCAAAGTAACATATACATTGTTGAAGAAGAAATGTATTAATATTGAAAATCATTTAAAATGGATAAATAGCTAAAAGTATGGTAACTGGTTGAAATAGCAAAGTGTAATGATAAATAATTGGATAAATAATTGGATAAATAGCTGAAACATTGACAGTTCAACTGCATCAAAAAAAATATCCTCATATAGTCAGTAGTGTTAAATAACATCCAGGTTAAAATCAATCAAAGGAACCCATTTAGAACATGATTGGTGGTCTTGATAAAGGGGTACTCGAGTTCATCTGACAGGACTGTGAGTACGTCTGAAAAAAAGGCTGGGAAGCACTGCTCTATGAGATATAGGGTCCATAGCGTAGATCTATACCAGATAAAAATCATAGCTGTCCCATTAAAAAGTGAATGTGCCCTAGCTCATATCTCTATTTAGTGGCAAAATATGTATCAAAGTTGATGAAACTGTAATATATCATATTGAGTAACAATCCTCAGAATCTCAGCTTCAATCATTTGTCACTTTGATTTGAGCAAGAATGGGTGGATGCTGCCCGCACAGGTGGGGTTGCTGATAATTCCACAGGTTCACAATATTAACAACACAGCTCAAATTACACCCTGCCACAGTTTGTTTTCTTAATATGCAATATTGCCAATATGAGTTCCCCACCATAGATCCTCAGCCTAGAAAATGCTGGGCTGAAAAAGCCCATTTTTCCTCATACGGGGCATTCTGAATATTGCCATGCATTATCAAGTGTATGAATTTAATTTATCAATGTCTAAATGATCAATAGCGTTTCACATATTGATGAGGTGTATAAACTTCTCTGAGGTTCGATACCACATCCCTTTGTAATCCATTAACCTCTCCCTGGAGTTCAGGCCAACCTTAGATTTATATGGACCTACAGTAATAAATCCACTTGTACATCATTTAGCGTCTTAGGGGATTTGCAATGCATTCCTGTCCAGAAAGCACCATCTATCCTTTTCTCATATTCTCATCTACATTTTAAAAGTCTTAACAACATCCACCACAGTCTGCATACCTTTTCAGAAACCGTGTGCCTATGTAAGTACACTTCCTGGGTTGAGCTGGTGTATGAGCCAGTAACCAGGGCCTCTCAGTATGGTAGTGCAGTGAAGGATTGTTTGTCCAAAGCAACACCTTGGTTTTGACACCATTTGGCTCCCCAGTTGGGAGCCTTAACCTCATCAATCTTGCTGCTAAACGGAGAGCACTCAATAGGGTAGTGTATCGACGCGCTCTGAACTCCATTGTTCACTGGAACTGAGCACTCAGCAGGTTAGAGGGCTGAGTGTCTCCTTGGATCAATGCAAGGGTTGTTAGCCCATTGCAGCCAGTCAGAGGGCTAGCGTGACTCTGTCTGCACCATACACACATCATCTCTACTCATTTAAAACTCCTCCTTGAGTCCTTGAGCTTTGATCCCGATCCAGCTTTTGTTTTCTCACCACACTGATTCTGGATAGTTCACATCCTTCGCAGCATAGGTCCAGTTCTTGAAGCATCAAGCTCCACCCAACGTGCCTTCCAGACATCTCTCTCCAAGGGGAAGTGTCCTGAAAAAATTTGCATAGAATAGGTCACGGACAATGCAGGAAGAGGAGGCCTGAGGATGAGATGCGTCTGCTTCCTCTTCCCTGTGAGATAAGATGCATGTGGCATGCAGCTGGGAGCAATCTGATGTAATAGTTGATGTGTGACAAGGCCTGAGGAACTCCACCGGTTGCTTAGCCCCTCTGGAAATATCGTTTTACTCCTCGGGAATCCTCATTTGGACTGATGTTATCACCATCTGCGATGAAATTCTGTTAACCTTCTTTCAAGATGTTCTAAATCCTACAATTTAGTTTCTTCCTGTGTATTATAATTTTTTGGGGGGTCTGTGCAGTTTTCAGCCACGTTAGTGGTGTGACAATATCAGTGGGTCAGTCCACCACTTTGGTCCAGACTGATATATTTCTACAACTATAGATGGATTGTCATGGGGGACATTCATGGTGCCAAGAGGATGAATCCTAAAGACTTTTGTGATCCCTCTGACTTGTTAACTAGCGTCACCATCAAGTTACAGCTTTCATTTATCAGTAAAATATATCAACATTGATTTTAATGGATTGGTATCTTCATGCTTCCCAGGTGATGTATCATGTGATTTTGCACCACCATGAGATTGATATTTGTGGTTTTGAGTGACATGTCTCAACAGCTATTAGAAGGACTGCTGTGAAATTTGGTGAACACAGTTTGTTCATCTCATAACTTTTAATCCATCCATCCATTATCTATAACCGCCTATCCTTTCCCGGATCGGAGGGGGGCTGGAACCAATCACAGCTGACATTGGGCGAGACAGGTTGCCAGTTCATCACATGGCTGACACATAGTGACAAACAACCAATCACGCTCACATTCACACCTACGGGCAATTTAGAATCAAGCTCAAAAATTTCTGCAAAACTAATGACAATATTAGCTTCAGCTGAGCTTTGTATTTAGTGCTAATTAGCAAATAATCGTGAGCATGTTAGCATACTGACATTAGCATTCAGCTCAAAGCACAGCTGTGCGGAAGTACAGCCTCACAGAGCCGCTAGCATGGCTGTAGACTCCTATGTTTAAAATATTCTTGGTTTTCTCTTTTACATGGGATTATAATTCCATGGGTTAGTAGGCATCAACCTTTCTCTGACTGATGCTTTTCCTCAGCAGTGAAAGTAAGGAAGCATGGGTCACCTCCAAAAGCTCTCGGCGGCTGTCTCTCTAAAAGCAGCTTACCAGCTCTGAGCAGCCGCTGAACACTGGCTCCTTCCTGGTGAAAATGAGAACATTTGACAAGCCAAGGTCACCAGGGGGCTTTGCCTGTATAAGGCTTCAATCGCAGGGCCCAGCGAACACTGCAAAGTCATAAAGCACTTTGTCATCACTCGCTATATAAACTCTCAACAATCAAGTGGGATCACATTCCCTCCCTCCCACCCTCCCACTCTGTGTGGCCTGTGTCACTTGATTTTCTCCTGCCCTCCCCCCCTCCCACTCTGTGTGGCCTGTGTCACTTGATTTTCTCCTGGCGCTGTTTCAAATTTAAATGGAGTATGTGGATACTGGAAGGCTGTCATGTGGAAGGCTGTTGGGCCTCTTTTGAACCTGTAGGAAAGCTTTACTCACCTTATTGGCAGGGAAAGGAAGGGNNAGGTAAAGGAAGGTGCTAGTGAGGAGCAGTGAGGAAAAGCTGCAGCAGGCAAAAAAGCAGCTAGGTGGGTACTGGCTGGCAGTATTTATGAATGGTCCAATAATGAGCCATCAGGAGTGTGGTGGCCATGAGAACACGAAGGGAGACAAGAAGTAGAAAAAAAAAGAATGCCCTTGTCCTGCACTGGTGGAGAGCAGCGACGCCGTTGCGAGGAGATTGGATTATCCAAGGGAAGGCCTGTCAGCCTGCCGAGGAACCGCGGCTGCAGGCGGCACAGGGGCAACAGGTGCGGTGCTCGCCAGCGTTTGTGCAAATTAGACTAATCACAGGGCCTGACTGGAACACCTGAAGCATGCTAGTGGCCAGGCGAGCAGGAGAGGGGTGTAATGGGGGAGGGAGTAGAAAATAAATGGGGACTGAGAGTCTAAGCACTGTCTTCTTTGTGGCTTTTTGCATTCTCAGTGGGCCTCATATTCACAACTACAAGACTACAAGTCTACAGCCA